CATTCAAATACAAATGAACGCATCATGACAAGTTAAATGTGAATGAAAATTTTTTTAACTAAAAACATTAAAAATTGAATTTAGATCTTCAATAAGCCAACAATATCTGAATCCTTTAACTTGTCTGTTTTTTTTTTTTTGAAAAAACATCGTTCATTTTAAAAATAAAGATAAAAATAATAATAATAGATGCCTACCTTCGCGGCTATGTAAAGTTTGGTTAGGCTCATCAGCAATATACAAAAAAAAAACTAATATTTTACAGTTTATTTAATTAATGTTATTTAGATTTAGTGAGTTTATTTTTACAATCTATATTATTGTAGATTTATTTCATACGTTTAAAACATTGTTAGTTATAATTGTACTTATTAGTACTTAATAATGACCATAACAAATAATTTAAAAGAAATAAATTCTTTTTAGTGGTACTGAGAGGAGGGTACAATAAAAATCACTGTGGCAGGGATCCAACACACAAATAATGATACAGATTGATACTTCATGTTTGCATAATATAGAGTCATAGGTGTCCTCAGGGGGGGTAAGACGGGTCACTTGCCCCCCCCCACCCGCTAGAATTTTAAATTTGTTACCTAATTGTAATAATTTAATATAATAATGACAAAACATAATAATGTTTTATAAATAAAATGTATAAAAAAATCTTCATTAATTTTTTAAATTAATTTTGCACCACTCCCTAGAAAAATGTCTGGGGACGCCCATGTATGACTAGGTACCTTTAAATTTAGCCATTTCGGTTACGGAATTTTATAGTAAATAATAGTAAATAATAGTATAATGTATACTCTTTTGATTTTAATTTCGGTTAATGGATGTTAATGGAAAACGGATGTTAATCAAGTAGAATTTTTAACCGAGTTATATCTTGGAAGGTGACACTCAATTCGACAGAAAAGAGGTGAATTGTGATAGGTAACTATTACATTTTATTTTAAGTCTATAATGAGAATTATAATATTATACCCATTTAAAAAATGTATTGATTTAGTTTATATCGTTTTTAGTTAATTAATGCTCTTAAGAATTATCAATTTAATATAGTATTTATAGGGGTACTCTTGCAGTTTTGCGTGTATAATTACTAACGTGATCGAGAGCGTGTGTGAGAGATAAGTATAAACGTGACTGTTCTTTTCTCTCGAGTCTAAAGCTGATATAATATATATCATATGTTTGTTAAAATGTAGTTTCGATTGTATAGTAAGTATTTTAGTCTTCAACTTACTCAACTAGGCAGTAGGCACCATAATAAATACATATAGATAGGTAGTTACCTATGTTTAATAAGTGCACTTAGAAATGTATTTAAGTATTAGTACATGAATTTGAATTATTGTGACACTTAAGTTTATCTTATTTTAATATTAATCTATTTGTCGTATTTGTATACGTTAACACGTATACATTTAACGATTTCATGTGCCTACAAGTTCATTGAGAGGTACCTATCAACTTACCTATTATAAACATTAACTACCTTACAGTAAAAACCAGAAATTAGTTTAGTCATTAATCATTATGATTATTTAAATTTCACATTTTAGTCTTTAGTACAACAATTACTACAATTATTTTTCATTAACATTTAGCAATTAATAATTTTTTAGTATGGTTAATATACTTATATTCGCAATATAAATTACATATTAATATAGCCTATAGGCTATAGGTATATTTTTTTTATAACCGTATACACAGTAGTCGGTACCTATCTATTGCGTATAAATTAGGTTCTAATCATTCTAACTTTCTTAGTAACTGATCTAATCAAATGAAACGCACCTTAAAAATTTAATTTTATTCATTAAATTTATAAACATTTTATATTTATATATTATACATTGTTACTTGTAATTTTACCAATGGTCGTCAATTAAAATAAATAAAAACCCAAGTACCTAGTACCATTTTAAGGATCAGACTATTTATTTATAATTTATAAATAATTATCTTAACTGTATAAAAATTAAAAAATATACCTAAAAGTATCTTTGAATATTATCATTGATCAATATATATGAATGAATAATAAAACTTATAAATATTTATAAACTATCTTTTTTTTTTTTTAAATTATATTATTCTTAAAAAACAAAAAAAAAAATAAAGTAAAATCTTAGTAGTTAATACTTACTTGCTTATTAAAGACCGGAGCGATATGTAGATAATTAATTTTATTTATTTGAAAAGAATATTGATATACTCACGAGAATCCATTTTATAAAGTTCCTAGTTTTTTAATTAACTTACACTATAGCTGTGAAAACAACTTATATGGGTGCGTATTTGTGACCGTTTTAATAATCATTTACTCATCTGCAAAGTCAATAGACGTCATTGACCAAAATATAATTTTTGAATAAACAATAGAGAAATAGTAATTGACGATGAGTCATAGACTAATGCACAGTCTTAGACTAACCGATGAGCGAATAACAATTTATATTTTATACATTACATTACAATTTTAATAACTGATCATATTTTATCGTTTCTTGAAATTATATAGTAAAATAATAGGAATAGAAATAGAAAAAGAAAATTACGTATATAAAACCATGTATACTTTAAAAACATATTCAACGAAATAATTATTAGGTATACTATCAATTTTTTTTATAAATGGCTAAATAGTATTAAAACTATTCTTGGCGGATATTTCTAAGGATATTATCTGTTAGACCTTTAGTTATATATTTATAATCTTTGATATTATATAGGTAGTAATATTTTTTCTATTTATGAAATACGGAGGATAGGTTGAATTAGTTATTACCTAAAACTAATCGCATACTATATTAAATGGTAATTTTATTATTATAATATTATTATTACTTATTAGCTGTTATTATTCATTAATTAATAAGTTAAATATCGGCTTATCTGAAAGAATGGTGTAAATAAGTTCGTGGCATAAAAATACGCTGCAACTCATTTGCGGACATTCAACATTTTTTTCCTTGAAAACGAACCATTCGTTTGCTTACAACATACTAACACACATGTATAAATCATCACAGATTGTACTACACATTATTAAATATTTGATAGCAATACAATCATTTAATCGATTGTGTAAATTATGTCATTTTGAATTTTCCGTACCTAACTACTTTTAGTATAGTTTTAGTGGTTATGGTTCAGTATAGTGGTGACTAGTGTGTTGACGACATAAAATCTTTAATATGGACGTTGAAATTGTTAAAATTTTTGATTTTTGAAACAAGGCGTGTAAGTGAGAACGAAAATCTATGCGCAAACGATAATACTAAGGATTTTCGTCATAGGTAGCCAAAATATATGTGCGCAATCGAGTTGTGTTTTTTTGAGCAAACGAGTTGTAAAAAAGGTAAATGTATGCAAACGAGTTGTAGCCTAAAAATAGCTTAAAATTAATTGAAATGTTTTGAACATTTCATTATGTAGTAAAATATAACTTTACTAAAACCATAATTTTTCATATAACAATACAATTTTGTCAACATTTAAAAACGTCAAGTATTTATAAAAAAAAAAAATTATTTATTATTACATATTTTTAAAATTTTTAAGTTTCTGTAATAAAAACTTACGAGGAATTTTGTATAAGATTTCATATTATAACATCTAAAATTAAAAACTTTGTAAATTTTAAATTATGAAAATAAATGTTGCCTATATATTTTAATATCTATAAATTGCTATTATAGTTAATTGTTTAAGACTTAGCACTAAATAATTATCAAGATATGAAATATTTTGTATTAATTCACTCGTTTTTTAAATTAAGCTGCTGTAAAGGTACAGAATCTAATACTTATTGATAAAGTAGAAACTCATAGCGCCGCTGATTGTGCATAATATATTTAATGTACCTATTTAAAATGTATGCGTATAATATTTTAATAGGTATGCAAATTACAAATTAGGTTTATAATAATATAGTCTATATCTATTATTATGAGTTGGGAGATTACCTATAGGGAAATCATTAGAATTCGAAAGTTCAAATGTGTAGCAATACATACAAACAATTACATTATCTACTGATATTCTTATTTAAAATTCAACTTACAATGAATACAATGTTACCTATATTTATCATTGTAGATAACCAACAACTAATAAGTATGTTAATATGTATTACCTATATACTATGCAGTATGCCTATTTTATATTTTGTCTATATCTATATTACGATAGTAAATTATTTTGTTCTTAACTCTAGTGTTTAACTCATTAAAAACCTAGTCTGGAAAAATCTTATCGTCGATGTTTAAGAGTTTTAGCTCTTTAAGTCGTATTACACGAGTTAAACACGACGCATGATTGACTGTCTACTTAATATTATAGGCACGTCTAAAACCGGTTTCCACGGAAAGATTTTTATTTTACCATACTGAAAATAAATAGTTACATTTTTAAAGCCTACTGCTACAAAAATGTATGATTATTCAAATTATTTACGTATTTTGAATACTTCAACAGCTTAATAATTTAACTAATTAGGTATTTAACTCTTTGCACGTGTTGTTATTACTTTTAAATTAATATTTAGACTATTTTGAGTTTGATTTGTGCAATGCCTTTTATTTAATACAAGTTTCAAGTGGATAATGTGATCAGATTTGTCTTGTGTCTTTTATGGAAATATTGTAATAAATAATATAAGTGTACAGAAAATTATCTCATACAAAAAGAATTTAAATATAGGTACGGTCAATTTATGTGGGATCAAGGTTAATTGACTTCCTTAAAATGTTAAATTAATAATATGGTATGTCAGATGATGGGTGATTGCTATTATTTTATTCAAGGGCAATAAACACAAAACCAAAATATTATATTATTGTCCATTTATTCAAAATAGCATAATAAACATTGAAACATTCAATTTTACCAATTTTATTGTAATGCAATGTTAGTGCATATTTTAAAAATTGTTAATTTATATACATCGCTTAAGTGAATTAAAAATAAATAAAAGTGTATAAAAAAATATATATTTATATAAAAATTATCTTTGCTTAAACCTATTTATTTATTTATAAACAATCATTAGTTAAATAAGTTAGAACTCAATTGTTCTTCCTTTTGTCATAATTGCTCGTAAAGTTTCGACCTTGCTTTTTACTAAATTTACTTGTAATTGTAATGTATCAGTGAATGCATTTTGTTCATTTTTATGTTCAGTCACCAATAATAATACTTCATTATATTTACGGCATGTTTCTTCTAAATTGGCCATCATAGACATCATTTTACACTAAATTTAAAAAAAATAACAAAATAATATCATAGGTACATAAAGGTTCATTTAACCTAATTTTGAATGGAAATCCATTTGATTACTTTAATTTCAAGAATTATTTTTTGAATTTATCACAATAAACTATTTATCAACTGAGGCTCAGGAATATTTTATGTAGACCAGTTAAAATATAACTATTAAATAATCAATTAATAAAAAAAAAAAAATCAACTTGGTTGAACATTTGGACTATAACTACAATGTTAGTAGATTAAATCATAATAATATACTATTTTTAAAATCAAAAAGATCATCTCGATTTTTAAATTCTCAATATTCTTGGTAATCGTGGCACTGTCAATAAGTACAGTGACAAAAATAGAACTTATCATCAGGGGGAGGTATTATACAATAATTGTATATAATTATTATATAGTATTTTATACTTGGAAAATATCTTTTAACAAATTTGAATAATAAAAAAAATTAGTGGGTAAAACCTTCTCGCCCAGGAGTTTGTCATTGAAAAATTATCACTAAATGCAAAGCAATTAATTAAATGTATGGCTTGTCAGTTTTTATTAAAAAATAATTTATTGTTATTTTGAAAATAACAATATTTATTATATAACTTAGAAAATTTATAATTTAATACCTAAATTATTGTTATTACTATCCTCCTACATAATTTATATTAAACAACAAAAATATTATGTCTTACTAACTGGCAACCATTAGTCAAATATTTTAACTTAATACTGGATAACTGGCTATCATGACAGCCTCATATTTCATCCAAACTTCAACAAACATACCAGCGCCTTTCTATGCTATACCCTATTCTTAATAAAAAACTCTATTATACAAAAAAAAAATTCTTTTTTCTTGTACATAAACAAATCCTACATCTATTACTAACTTACACTTGCCTGGTTTGAGATAAATGTGTAACTTACCTCAACACATTTCAAATCTTTCAAAATAAAGTGCTACAAATAATTACAGATGTGCCTTGGTTAGGTTACATAAAAATTATATTCAAAAATTTGCATAGCTCACTGATAAACTTATCTAGATCACTCTATTACAATCTTCATATACAACCACCTCAACGTAGATTAAAGCATAACTATCCACATGACCTTCTAAGTTAATTACGCACAATATGTTTATCTATATAATATACCTGCTAGTTTTAATATGTTAAATGTTTAAAAAATATAAGTTAATAATACAATATTATTCATTTAATAAACAAAATTTATAAAATACCTAGTATTTACAAAAAAAAAAACTTTCATGCTCTTATGAAGTTAAAAATCCTTAATACATTAACACAGGAGTCTTCAAACTACGGCCTGCAGGCCACATCTGGCCCTTGAACAAGTTTTCACCGACTTGCCAAATAACGGCAAATAATCTAAAAATATGTTTAGTTTCTAAAATTGTTATCGCGCACAAGTACAATTATCAGCTATATCGGCTATACCATAATTTACAAGCTGTAGTTTATAAATTATATGTGTTCATACATTCTGGCCCGCTAAGAGCTTTTTTATTTTATGTGACTCTCGGATAAAAAAAGTTTGGAGACCCCTGCATTAACACATCAGCTGTATAATAATTCAATGTAAGCAATTAGAGTTATAATTAGTAAGTTTTTTTAAACACTGTTATAGTTACTGACAAAACGCTAATTAAAATAAATTACTTTTAAACAATTCAATAACATAAATTTTAGAATCTAACTCCTAGTTAGTTATCAATTTATTTTACATCTATTGATATAATTAAAACTGTATTATTATTTAAATTAATATTTTAAGAATAAATGTTTACTTGAACGTTCACCCTTTTCCTAATTAGTTAAAAAACTAAAACTAGATATTAAATTATGAATTTTTATTTTTTATTTTTTAAAATAAACATTTGAAAACAATTTTATTTTATTGTTTTACAACTTAAATTAGTATACTATGTGATATTGATATTGAATAAAAATAATAAGACAGTTTAATGAACACTAACAAATCATCTTAATTTGAATAATATAATATTATTAAGAGGATATCAGCACAATATTTGTTTTCTCTCTAAACCACACATAACAAAGTTAAAACGCGTTCACCTAAAATAATTTTTATGACTTGAGTAGCCATAGAGTAAAATCATGTATTACAAATTAATATTTTTGAGGGCTTAACATATTGGTTTTAAATTTTATTATTAATTGAATTAGTTTTCAACTTTCAAAAAAATAAATAAAAATTCTAAAATCAATGTCATATTCTTAAAAATATTATTTTTTTAAATTTTTGTTATGAGTAAAATCACTCTAAAATTCAAAAACATAAAAAATAAATAATTTTGTATGAATAAGTTTTCTATGTGTTACATGTGGGCCAGAGAGAGAAAACAATGTGCTGGCCACTGACATCCTCATAATATTAAATTAGTGTAACATAATATTTGCTGCTATATAACAGTCAATAATATTGTACTTACCGAGTGGGATGTTTCATTTTCTGAAAATAGAACTCGTTCAAATTTTTTTATTTTCCAACTTAAGGTGTCTATTCTTTTTTCAATATTAGTCACCTACAAAACAAGCAATGTCTTAAATAAAAAAAAAATAATAGACAGTCTTGAAACAATATGAGAAGTATAATTTAGTAGATACTTACAACTTGTTCCAAGTGTATTACGGCTTCGTCCATGGTTTTAAATAAAATACACCAAATAATAATTAAAAACAATTATTATCTTCGTTTTTATTGTTGTCGAATAATGTTAATAGGTAAAAATGATTCATAACCATACTACTTACTATAATATTGCACAATTGCACAGTGTACTTTAATCATAGAATAGATTTTTTAATCTATTATGTGTTTTCATTTGGATGTTTCAGTGATAAGACGATGTTGTTCCCGCCAAAAGTTAAAAAGTTTTATATCTCAGTTCACACCCCGTATCATCATGGTATCTCGTCACTACACTGACGACCGTGGTTACTAGTCCACAATTTTGCAGAATTATAATTTATTATACAACTTCATAGGCTCGCAGACAACACGCACGCGCGCGATTTCGTATCCAATTCCCCACAAAATAATCTTGACCCCCTCCCGTTTCGGCCGTATTCATTATTTTTTGCAATACTGCCAGGCAGAATAGCGCGATCCGATCTCCCTATACAGCCTAACAATACTGTCGAGTACGAACCTGTCGTCTTCGTCGTCGAGGAGGCTCCGTCAGAAAACTGTTATACAATATCTACCAGGCACCGGTATATCGATTCGTTCGTCATCGTCAGTTGTATACCAGCAGCTGCCAAGTATGCGCTACTCGTCTCCTCCCGTTCCTCTCTGATTGCCTGTTATTTTAGATTGTAATTTATTATTTAATTTTAATTTTAGGTGTGTCACCTGATTTTTGGTCAATTTCTATTTTTTTTTTTTTGTCAATTTTATTGTTGTTCCCAACGCATAGTCACTCTTATCGCCATGTACAACCTAAGCCGTCTCGGACGTAATGTGTCGGAGAGTGTCCTAAGGACAACGTCCATATCTTCTGCTCGTGGACTTCACGAGATGCCTGATCATCTCAAGGATGTGCCTACTGCTGAAAATCCACGATTTTTTGACATGGTGGAATATTTCTTCCATCGTGCGTGTCAGGTTGCTGAAGACAAACTTGTAGAGGACATCAAAGCCAAGATGTCTGTCGAAGACAAGAGAAAAAAAGTTAAGGGAATATTGTTGGGTATGCAGCCATGTGACCATATATTGGAGACATCTTTCCCAGTTCGCAGGGACAGCGGTGACTATGAAATGATTACTGGTTACCGTGCACAGCACAGTACACATAGAACACCGTGTAAAGGAGGTAAGTAATGGACTAAAATATAAAGCTTATTATGTTTATTATTTTAAATGCATATGATACACACACCTAATATTTTAGAAAATATAAAATTATGGGTGTATTTTTGGATGCCATCATTATAAATATTTAATATTATTTTAATTTAAATATATAAATAGTAAAACCAGAATAACTGTTTTTTTTTTTTTTTTTAAATAATTATGGCCGCTTGTAATAGTTAATTCATTTTTTTACTTGAATACACTTAAATAAGAAAACTAATTAAGTTCTTATTAAAATAAGTTTAAACATCATAAATAACATACAAAAAAAAGTTAAAAAAAAAAACATATTCTTATTTGAGACATTGCGTGTACTTAATAGTAACTGCTTATTGTTTTAACATTATACTTGTAAAGTTGTTGAATATAGGTATTAAGAATATCGCATAAAGAATAAGAATATATGCTTATAAGAATATAAGCATAAAATACCTGAAATTGGTTCTTAAATTAATAGATGCTATAATTATTGCTAGTGTATTATATTTAAATACTCATACACTACTACACTATTTAAATTTAAAAATTAAAACCACTTAACAAATGTTAAAAATTAAGTATGCAAGTGGCGAGGTCTTTTTTGACTATAATAATATAGTATCTAGTATTTTTTTCAGAGGTTAATTATAAAGTTAATAATAAGTCATCAAAACCATTGAAATTAGTTGATAAATTCTACTTTATAGTCACTTATATTAATAATCACTGGGTAATTTTAAAAAGTAAATTCTTATTTTTCCACTTCTTCTAATATTTTGGATGAATATTATATTTCCAGTTTTAGTGTGTATATTTTAAAATATTATAAAGTTATGATTTAATAATGATAAAAAACTATAAAATTTTGAATTAACATAAAAAATATTAGTTACATTTCTTTAATTAATTTAAAAATATATAAAATTGAATGTTTTAAGATTATAATATTAAATTGTTTATTTATCTAATTTAATTGTGTTTACACATCTTATATAACTGAATATCTACACAAATAATATGGTATATTATTCAAATTCAAAACAGTACAAAGTATTAATATTCATTAATAATATTTTAGATTAAATTGGTACTCATAATAATCTGTTTATTTCATTTTGTACAGTTTAATTTAAAAGTTAATAATTCGATATTATGTACCTATTTTGATTTATAAGCCTCTTAAATGTTGAGTCATATTTAAGTATGAGATATCTTTAATTTTTTTATGCTATGATAATCTATAATAAAATTAAACCTAACAACTTAAAAGTAGAAACACAATAATAAACATTTTAAAATTTTAATTTAAAAACCTCTTTAAAAATTAATTTTGTTTAAGATAAATAATATCTTATTCTAATGCTAATAAAGCCTGAATAATAATATTAATTTTATATAGTCATACACTGTAAGACAATATTTAATTTGTTAATATTGTTAGTTTAAAAAATAAAATTGGTATTTTGTTAATAAAAACAAAAAAAACTTTAAAGAATTATTTGCACTAATTTATTAATTTTATTACAGGTATTCGATTTTCTTTGGATGTTTGCCGTGATGAAGTGAAAGCTTTAGCTGCTTTGATGACTTTTAAGTGTGCTTGTGTTGATGTACCATTTGGCGGTGCAAAAGCAGGCATTAAAATAAATCCGAAATTGTATTCAGAAAATGAATTGGAGCAAATTACTAGGCGGTTCACATTAGAATTGGCTAAAAAAGGATTTATTGGTTAGTATGTAAACATATTTTAATTTCAAGTGATCAAAAAAATTTGTAATTCAAAATAAAGTTTTATTCATCATGACCTCAAATTAAATTATGTTAAACTACATTGTGAGAAATATTGTCGGAAATGCCATGGCATAAATAATAGTATTAAACTTAATTGATGATAATAATAAATAGGGTCATTGAAAAATGTAGGGTTTTAATAGGAAATAATTTAGTAGTAAATTAAGTGTTCTAGTACATCATTTATTTTATTTTATTTATATACAATTTATGTATACTGTAAATGATGACACATTAATTAAATATAATTTTATTTTATCTATAAGAAATAAGGATATATTTTCTATAAATCTAAAATTGTTAATATTATAATCTCATGGATTTTTTTTCATTTTTAGGACCCGGTGTAGATGTACCTGCACCAGATATGGGAACTGGTGAACGTGAAATGTCATGGATAGCTGATACATATGCTAAAACTATAGGTTATAATAATTCTTGTTTTTTTTTTTTTAATCATATATTTGTATATTATCAATTCATATTTTAATGCTTATAATGAGTTCAACTTTTTTAATTATATTTATTGAATTAAAATGTATGATAACCTTTACAAAAATAGAAAATCAAACCATCTATTAATTATTACATGAATGTAAATATTATGTACTGATTTTATCTTTTTTTTTTAATAGGGCATTTAGACATAAACGCTCATGCTTGTGTAACTGGTAAGCCAATTAATCAAGGTGGAATCCATGGTCGTGTATCAGCTACTGGTAGAGGTGTTTTCCATGGATTAGAAAATTTTATTATGGAGGCCAATTATATGAGCTTAATTGGTACTACACCTGGATGGGGTGGAAAAACATTCATTGTTCAAGTTAGCTTACATTATTATTGTTATCTCTAATTATATATTTTTTTGAATTTAAATTTTATCATTCAAGGGTTTTGGTAATGTTGGATTACATTCAATGCGTTACTTACACAGAGCAGGTGCTACATGTATTGGTGTTATTGAACACGATGGTTCTATTTATAACCCAGACGGAATTGATCCTAAAGTAATTACCTTGTGTTTATAAAAATTACATTTATAAGCTTAACAGTCATTTATTATTTTAGGCATTAGAAGATTGGAGAATTGACAATGGTACTATTTTAGGATTCCCAGGTGCTCAGCCATATACTGGTGAAAATCTTATGTATGAACCTTGTGATATATTAGTACCAGCTGCTACTGAAAAAGTCATAACATCAGCTAATGCTCATAAAATCCAAGCTAAAGTAAATAAAATATTAAAAGTAGTTAAATAATATTATAAAATCATTATTTTTAGATTATTGGTGAAGCTGCTAATGGCCCTACAACCCCTGCTGCTGATAAAATTCTAATAGAACGAAACATTTTGATTGTACCAGATTTATATATAAATGCTGGTGGTGTAACTGTATCATTCTTTGAATGGTTAAAGAATTTGAATCATGTTTCTTATGGTCGCTTAACGTTCAAATATGAACGTGAATCAAATTATCATTTATTAGGTAAAATATATTACATAATTAAAATATCTCGGCATGGGTAACTTATATCAACTTTTTCTAGAATCTGTCCAAGAATCATTGGAACGTCGTTTTGGTCGTGTGGGAGGAAGAATCCCCGTTACTCCTTCTGAATCCTTCCAAAAACGTATATCAGGAGCGTCTGAAAAAGATATAGTGCATTCTGGATTAGATTATACAATGGAACGTTCAGCTCGAGCTATTATGAAAACTGCTATGAAATATAACTTAGGTCTTGATCTTCGTACTGCTGCTTATATCAACTCAATTGAGAAAATTTTCACTACCTATAAGGAAGCTGGACAAACTTTCTAATTTATTTGTTTCTACTGTTTTAGTGGAAGTTTATAAAGGAATTTAGGTATTGACAAATAAGCCAAATTCATATATTTTAACTACAGTAAACTTTTAATTATTATTATCAAATTGATATGAGATCAATCATTAATAAAATTAATAAAAAGGAATGAATAACTTTTTCCTTGTTAACAAAATTCATTTTTTAAACAAGACATACTTTTAAAAAGTTCCTTTATAGTACAAAATCAATGTTTGTTATTTTATAAGATATATATACATATACATATATACATATATGCATAAGTATTCATTTGAATCCCAATGAATATCAAGTTTCATATATATTTTACAACATTGAATTTGTACTTAAAAATAATGATTTTATAGTATCAGTATTTTTGATAATAATTTAACTGTATTATTTCAAATACCATTAAAATTTAAAATTGTAGCTGTGTTTTTTAGGCTTAAATTTAGTGAAATTATCATTTTATGAATTTGGCTAATTGTTTTTTTTTTGTATCAAAATATTGAATACATTGTTAAACTACATTGACTTATTTTGAAGTTGAAAAATTCCAAATTGTTTCTTATTTTTAAGAAAAAAAAGTATACGTGCTTATTCAGTATTGTTTAATAAATTTTTGAATAATAAATTTTGTTCTTTTGACAAATATAAAATCTAACTCTTACAGAAATTAATTAAATTAAATTTACAAGTACAAATTACTAATCAGTGCTCATAATATACTACAATAATTTTAATATTGTAATCATATAATAGAAAAAGTGAGTAAATTTATGTTTTTCTCTATTTTATAAGAACTATTTAAACCATAAATTTTAATTTATTAATATATTAAATTTAAAATATTGTAAATCAACAGTCATCTCATATTTTTTGAAATAATAAGTATACAAATTGTTTATGTTTTGGAATTCTTTTCATGTTTTAAGTTGATAATTTTAAAAACTATGAGTATTAATTATTTGTTAGAAATTGTATTAAAATTAATATATTTATAATCACCACTTAATATAAATACTGACAATACATTCTTGTTATTAATATTGTTCGTATTTTTTTTTTAAAGATGATCTTACTCATATGACATTTTTAACTTAAAAGTTGTATTATATTTATTAATATTTGTTATTATTGTCAATGATATATGAGTAATTAATTGTTCTAGTTGAATCGTTAGTTTTGTTGAATTATTTAAATATACTTTTAACTTATGTGAGCAATTAAATAACAAATCAATAAGTTCAAAGTTGAAAATCTGTAGAAGTAATTACTATAGATATAATTTTAATAGGAGAATAAAAAAGTATTACAATTTTTAGTTTCATGTTCATTTTATAAGAGTTAAGTATTATCAATTTGTTTGATTAATTTGTATGGTTTATTTAGGATCAAACTTCTTAAACTGAACAAAAAAGTTCTAAACACTACTGATTTGTTTACCATTGTCTATTTTCTGTTCATTTTAATATTATGCATATTTATTTTATGGTTTTTCATATAACTTAATTTTTTTTCTTAATTAATTAGCATCAACAAACATCAGCAGGAAAACTATGACAGAATTAAAACACTTGATTTATTATATAATTAGTTATTTCATATTAAGTAAGTAAATTGAAAAGAAATTATTGTGCTTCAGAGTTTTGAAAATAAAACTAACATTTCTTTGGACCAACCATCTTAAGAAAAATTGACTATCAATGAAAATTTTTTTATAAAATTTATTCCAAAATGAATATGTATAATACAAGTGTATTATACGAGTCTATAGTATTAACAGTATTCACTAATTAGTTACTTCCATGTTTGGTTTGATTACAATTGGTAGAGGAATAATAGGTAATATTGTAGAGGTTTCCGCCTCAGTTTGATATCAGATGGAAAAAATATGGCCTAATTACAATTTAAAAATTATATGTGTTAATTATTGTCTAAACTCCTGTAAACAAATTACTCGAATGTGTGTCATCTCTCAAGAAAATGATTATAATATTCGGTAATCTATATTCAGGTCAAAGATTAAACAGTCGAGTATTGAATATTACTATACATCATTTAATACACTCAAAAGAGTCTTATTTTTCGGATATTCGATTAAAATCATCAGTAGTTTTAAACCTATTATCATAATATCTTGATTTCCAAATAAAGTTTTCCATCTTACCTCTTAGTTTACCCAACAAATGCATATTTAAAAAAAAATATGAAAAAATACGCAATTTATACATAATAAGTCTTTGTAATTTTTATCTTAACCTTTGATTACAAATTAATTTATTTTTAATTAGATATTTTAGATTTTACTCATGAAAAATAATAAATTTTATTAAAATAAAAACTATTGATCGATGGAAAAATACAGTGTGATTCCAAGCAGCTGATATTGTTGATACGGGTTAAAGCATTTGAAAGCAAATCTAATTTTTAATAATTAAATATTAAACATAATAATGTTTGTTACATCAAATTTTAATAAGTGAGGATAATACTGAATGTTTGTTATTAACTAAACATTCTTTCTTGTTTTGTTTCAAAGAAAAAAGAACTAATTAGAAAAAAGTTATTAAATAAATAAATATATTAAAATCAAACAAGTTTAAATCTAAATCTTAATGTACTACATAAAGTTAAAAAATTTAAGCTTATTTGTATCAGTCGTTGACAAATATATGCTGGATATATGACATTTTCTGTTCAATAGACTGATCACTGACACGAAGGCCTATCAATTATAATATTAGGTGCCGAACTTGAAATTTGAACTATCACAACTTCTTTACAAAAAATAAAGCTTAATTTAATTAACTTAGTTCGGTTTACTTTGAGTAAAATATGTAATGTGTTCGTATTTAATATTGTGGATTATTTGAATTAAAACTGTAAATTATCCTTTATATACCTAGGAATAATAACTTCGTAATGTGATCATAAAAAAACAACCTATATGAAACATATTTTTAGATTTTGAGCGTAACGATGAATATATTGATTTTACAAAGATGTGTTTTTTATGTGTGTGTCTGTGTATATAATAAGTAGTCAAAAAGCTACAATTTTCATATTTGAGAGTAGAATAAAAAATTAGATCTAATTTGTACTTTAGATAGGTCAAAATTAAAAATTCTCAGTATTTTTTTCATAATCAGGGGAAAAAACAAAAAATTTAATAAAAACGTGATTTTACACACATCAATTATTATTAAAATAATTGTTTGGTAATTATGAATAGGTATCTCAAAACTTTTACGTGTATTATTAATTATATGGAATGAAATTATAAAAATATGTAGATTAATTTTAAGTTACCTATTATCTACCTGTTCTACCATAAACTTATTCAAACTGTTTTATGATAAAGTGACTGATTCAATACCTAGTTAATAAAATTACTATAATAATTAATAATACGGTAAAAATATATGTACATTATATTATTTTAGCTGAATCAAAATAACATCATGAAATATACCTAACTATAATGATAAACCGTTTCCGCTCAGATCGTTTTTCATATATAACGAAGTAATAAAATTATCATTGAATTAAAACATACACATAACAGTGAACCACTCGACACTTATGTACAGCAGAGTGGCACCAATTTGCTTATCTTTTTTTAAAAAATATTTATTAAAACAAAGAAGAACCTATCAAGAGTCAAAATATGTAGGTAGGTACCTCTAACAGACTATCAAATTTAATTTTAAAACGTTTCTGGGTTCCAACTCCGATTCGTGTGGTTTTACTATTGAAGAGTGTCGATGAACACTCGTACGCGTTTAGTGTAGGCATCTACCAACTTACTGCCGTCAAGAATAGTATGATTCTAGTTGATTTTTAGTTGATCTTGTATGATGTAAGGTGTAACCCTTGAAAAATTAAATGACTGTGGGATTTAGCCCTTCTTAAACCGCACAGATGTTTAACACAGTTAGGTATATGAGTTGTTTTAGGAATATTATAATACATACCTAGGTAAAAATGTGTGTTAAATCATAGTAATTATTTTATACTTTGTAACCATTGTCAACGATGTATATATATATATATATAAAACAGTATTAATATCTCATTAACTAATACATTTTTATATAAGCCCTTCCTAAAAATATAAAATTTTAAAAATTAGCTTCGTAATACACATCTTTGAATATAGATAAATAATTATACTCCGAATTTCAAAACTATAAGTGCCATAAAATAGTGGATTTATTTTATTTTAATATAGATAGATAAACGAGCGTACATATAGCGTATAATAATATATAACTAATACTAGCGGTTTCTAACTTTTTAGGTTCACGAATCTCTAAAAATGAAAAAATTCAATCGTGCCTCCCTTAAATAAATGAAACAAAAATTTTATTAGTGTATACTACTATATTAGTACTTATAGTGAATATGTACAATTTCAATGTTTATATCGCACCTCTCATGTTAAGTGCTTGCGCCTTTTAAGTGAGCCGTGCCTCACAGTTTTGGATCGCTTTTATAAGTATCTACACATTGAACAGGGGGAGGGGACACTGTTTTTTGTCGTTTTCTAGCATGGTGAATATAAAAAAAAATGTAAGTTATATGAATACAATACCCTCAATTTTAATGTTTTGTGAATCTCAGTTACCTGTAGGATGTAATCGAGAGCAAATAGGACAATATTAGGGCTGCAAACGAGTTGTGTCCCAAATACTGAATTGTGTCCCTCAGTTTTTTTCGAGTTACACGAATTGTGTCCCTCTAGTTTGATCAAACTAATATAAATAAAAATTAAAAATAACTACACAAATAATTTTAATAATATAACATAAAAAGCAAACACTTAAATCAAATCATTTTTATAAATTCACATTGAGAAATTTTTCTATTGAAATATTAAAAGTATGTTAAATATTATATTTTACACGAAAAATAAGTTCGTATAAAAAACGTCATATTATTATAGTAAAAATTTTAATGTAATATAACAATAATTGATGTTATTTTGTCTAATAAATATAAATAAAAAGTAAAAATAACTACATTAACAGTTTTAATAAAATTACATATTAGGCAAAAATTTGAATGGATAGAATCGAATTTTATTCTGTAATTATTTTATTAAATATGTGTTGGTAATTATACAACATTGAAATGAAAACATTTCTCGATTTGAATTTATAAAAACTTTGTTTATTTAACTTGTGTAAAACTTCATAAAACAGTTAGGACATAATTCGTGTACCCCTTTTTTATCATCGGGACACAACTCGTTAACTGTAAATATTAGACCTAATAAAGCTTGCACTCTTTACTATACTATAGGTACCTACCTACTTGTTGTTTAGTTGATTTTAATCGAATTTGAAAATAATATTATTAAAAAACTCTGTGAACTGTGATCACATAATTTGAGTTTGTAATATAACACAATTTCTAAGTTATTAATATAAGTTATACCATACCTATCTCACGTATTCAAAATTCAAGTATAATAAATATTATTATTCTTAATTTTTATCATAAAAAATTATAATAACATGCCATAATAATTATTACCTATAATATAAGATATTATAATATGATCCAATAAAAGATTTTCACATTTTAATAAAATTGGACAAAAAACTTAGAACCTAGCTATTAACAAAAAGTCCCACCTAAAAAATTTAAATTACTTAAATAGCCAGAAAAAAGGTATTTCAATCACTTACCTAAAAAAATAAAGATTTTCGAAATTTTTTTTTTTTTCGAGAATATTGAAGACTTCCATAAATATGTTAGCTTAATTTTGAATTTTAAATTTCAATATCTAGGTTATCTTACCTAACCTATGTACAACACAAAATTGCGTAAAATGAAAATGGTTATAAACAAGTAATAACGATATACTTCGACAATATACATGATTATGATTAGTTGTAAAAATAGACATTTTTAAATTTTTCAAGGAGATACACAACATTTTATTCCTATAAGCCAAGATTTGAAATTTGGGCTAAACTTCTTTTCTTAGTAATTAATAAATCAGAAATGTTTTGAAATGTTCAGAAATAAGTTTTGAAGCACTCGAAGGGAAATTTATTAGCAAAATTTCAAACAGTAGGTACCTATGTAAGTTGTGTCAGAGTTTGAGTATAGCTAAAAAGGTCAGAAGAATCAATATGTTTTCAAAGACCTAACTATTAATTAGATTATAATAGGTTCAACTATTTTTAATTTAAAGTAATTAAAGGTTTAATTAGTTGAGTAAACATGATAAGTAAATTCTAAGTAATGATAACTGTTTAATATTGAAATGATATACAGACATACAGTAATACTTAAGGAATTTAAATTTAAATAATATAAAAATTATGTTACATACATAAAATTTATCACATTATGTTTGAAGGATAAATTATAATCATAGCTTTATTATATTATAATTGTTTAGAATATTTTTCATTATATAATGATATTTATCTATTAAAAATACATGTCTAGAATGATTAACCGATTGAAATGATGATTATACTACGTTTTATTTTTAATAATTTTACGATTGCGACAATTACCATATTCAGTGCAAAAATATAATTTATTGCATATTTTCATTAAATTTTGACCAAAAATAAGTTAAATATGCCCAATAAAATAGAAAAATGGATAAATATGCAAAAATATTTAAAATTTAATTTCACATATTTAGCCGTATGGTATCTCTAAACAGATTTCTATGTCATCTAGCATTAAATATGACTTAAGAAAATTTATAATAGGTATGCAAATGCCAAATATATCATACATGAACCATTGAATAATTTACTCAATATAATGAACTCACGAGCCCAGATAATAACAGAGAGAGCTTATACACCAACTACTTAAAATATTAAGTTAAGTACCTATTGAATTAATTATTTAAATTAATCAAGTTTGTATTTAATGTAATTTTATTAATAAAAAATAGTTAATTTTTTCTATAGTTAATTTATTTAACTTTAAAAATTGTAAGTTTCACATTTTGTTTTTATTATAAATTATTTTTAATATATTATAATTAAAATTTCTGTTAATTAAAAAAAAAAAAATATATTTATTTGTTGTTTTTACCAGAAACATTATTAATTAATTGTTGAAAATCTTTTTTGACAAATCTAATACTAGTGTTAAATTATTTTTAATGTTTTAAAACTTTGGCTACAATTTTATAATTTAAATTTACCTATATTAATTCATATTTTAAATTATTATTTTTGTATAATATAATAACTGATTTCTATAAATATTTTCAATTATATTTAACAAACTATTAAAACATTAGATAAACTTAAAGAGAAAAAGGAAATAAAAACAATTTCTTATTATGTATAAATTATAATACATTAATACTCAATAATAAATAGTTAAAATTTAAACTTTTTTTTTTATATTTATTAATTTTATTTATTTGCAGATTAAAAAAAAAAATAAATAAAAAAAAAATACTAGTAAAGAACTCCCATCAGACTTTTATACATAGAAAAATATATAAGAAAGACAGCAATATATTTTATTTTTTTAATGTTATAATAATTATAGTATTTTACAGGTATTTATGAAATGAATAAATAGTTTGAAATTATAAAATAAAATAAATATTTTGATTTTCAAAACACTATTAGCATATTTTAAAAATATACTTTTTTAAATGAATTTAGTTAAAATTTAAAATAAAATATTTTAATGTTCATCTTATTTTTTTTTGAACATTGTTTATGAATTAGTTCATTGTACACACAATATTTAGCAAACTCGTATACCTGTACTTATAAGTATGGTACATAGACACATGGTAATTAATTTTTAAGAGAAAATTAAAATCCTGAATTCCTTAAAGAAGGTAAGGAAACCGAAAATACATTAATATTAAATGATAATATTATGTAGTCATGTAGGATGTATTTGAAGTTTGAATGTTTGATGCTATAAGAGTATAAGAAGACGCTACACCCGCATGAGTTGTCTCCTTCTTAGATAACTACATACAACAAAACAAATTTTTGATCAGTAGAACACATAAACACATTGTGTGTATTAGCTTTAACGTTAGAGTAAATTGACCAATTACTAAATGCAGGATTTCACAAATTCATAAATCATTAAGTCATACGGAACTACCTATTTTCTGTTACAATTTGCCATTTGTCACCACGGATATGGAATATATTATGGTCTATGGATACTATATTATTATAGTATCTATATCCGTGCTTGTCACCCGGCGTCAGTTATCAATTCATAAAATATGTTTGAGGTTACGTTAGGAATTAGGAATCATCTCAAACTATATAATATCAATAATAATAATAAATAATAATATTATTGTTGCTTCTTGCTTATTAATGTTATTACTTATTATATAGCATTTAGTACGGATTACGGATATCGAATATATTTTAAACTGTGATTACTTATTACTGTTATTATTGTATTACTTATTAGTTAATATTTAGTATTTTATTAGCAAGTTGTTAGTTAAATAATTAATCAAATTGGTACCTATCAATGTTTGCGGTATTCATCTGATAAAGAATAACGTTTTACACACTATTATACTTTTACAATATTGTATTACCTTACTAGTTACTATATTATGAAGAAAATTATGAGACAAGCGCAGATTGTTCGTCCTCATAACTTGGATGAATATTTAATGAATTTATTAAAAAGTATTTACCAATCTAAAAATCTATCAGCAGAAGTAGGTAAAAATTATAAATTTTAATGTAATATTCATTTTTTTTTAAAAATTATATATAATAATATATATACCTAATATTTTGTTCTCACATAGCACTTGAGAAAAACTGAGAAATAAAAAAGAGTTTAGAATTAAATTCAGGAGAACAGGAAATAATCAAATTTTGTAGAAAAGTACTTTGTCAAACTTGATCAAATGTTTGAGTTACATCCAGGAATAGAGCTGAATATGAAGTGTTTTTTTTTTTAGTGAAAAAGCAATATTATTTACAATCGTGTGCACTTGATGGCGGAGATCTGAATGACTTCTAAAATCAATTTGGAATTGTTTTTTTATTTGTAATAATTGGGTATACTCTTTTTAGCATAACTTTTTCAAGAATTTTTTTGAAACGATAAGAGACCAATGAGATAATGAGAAAAGCAAGTCTGTTAGTTTATCTCTCAGAGTAAATATAGCTTTCAAATTAAGATTATAATTGTGTTTCTTTGTGTGAGAAATGTAGGAATGATAAAGAAAAGAAATTAAAAATAAAAGTCAAAAGGTAAAATGGTTTTCTTGGGAAGGTGTTTCACGTTGACTGCTATGTGACCACCAGTAATCATACCATATAGTTTATTGGTACATAAAACTTATTTATTCATGTTATTTTTAATTTGTTATACTATTATATTTAAAAAAATAAAAATTTTTTTTTTTTTTTATTAAATTAATGATATTTTTTTGCAATTCCACTGTAGTTTTTTAGTACCTTTATCATAAAAATATAACATTTGAGAAACACGGATGATTACTGATGGCCACATAACAGTCAATATGTTAATAATATGATTAGTAATTAATGTTTATTATACCAAAATTATTTATTGTTGTAATAGTAAATATTCTTTGAGACTAAATTTTTAAATATGTACCATTACATTTAAATAGTGTGTATACAATTTTAATAAAACACTATTGTTTTTATTCTTAGGAAGTATCTCAATGGTTGACTTCTGCACCTTTAAATTCATATTTCAGAGTTAACACCTTGAAGATTACACCATCAGAAGTTATGATATTCATAAATGAACAAATATCAAATGTAATGTATATATTTTATTTAATTCCTTTCCATTCTTAGATTTTTAAGTGAATTTAGACTTTTTAAAATAGTATTTTTTTACTTAATAGTTTTTAAAATATTACTATAGAAGAATTTGTACCTTGTAATAATTATACGATTATAAATTAATTGTGAAAATATAATTAACAATCAAACAAATTTATAAGATTAGATTACAGCCTTTATCCTCTTAGTATGATGTACCTATTATTGATTTTATTATTAACAGATTATTCATGTTATACAAATATTGAGTATATTTAATATTTATAATATTTGTATGACATTTATAATTTATTTTAAATAAATAATCTTTTATGTTGTAAATAATTTACACATTTTAAAGTTTTTTTGTTGTAAAAAGCTGTTGTTTATGTTATAGTTGAAACGACTTAAAAATAACAAAAATAAACAACATTCAGTTAGTGCTCATAAACATTTGAGCGATTGTATAGTAATTTCACCAATTGACAAGTCTTTATTAGATTTGAGCCCTAAAAATGAAGAAGTAATTGTTGATATTGCTACTGGGCAATCTGCATTACGAGGCTCTCATATATTTGCACCTGGGATTATGGCTATGGCACCTGGTAAAATAAATTATACAATTTGTATGTTATTCTATAACATAACATAAAACTATTAATATATATCAATATACCAATGCGGTTTTATTATAGAATATTAATACTATCTTGAAATTAAAAAAAAAAAATTAAACAATACATTATGCATATTCTGTGTTTATATTAAAACACTTACAATAATTTTATTTATTCATAATATTTTTATAATACAAATCATATTTACATGTATTTTAAATTAATTATAAAACTTATGTTTTAATAATATTTTATTTCTTAGAAGTACAAGTTGATTCATTCATATCAGTTTATGCGGACTTAGGCAAAGGGTGTAAACGAGGTTATCAAAAATATTATGATAATCCAATGAAGATGTTTGTTGGCAATGGCATTGCCAAAATGAATCGTCGGCAGTTATTTAATGGTGATATAAATCCTAAGTAAGATTAAATGTGTATTATGGTTTTGATGCATTTCATAAAATACTTAATATTACATTTTAGAGGTATTGCGGTTGAGATGACTGACCCTGTTACAGGTATCCCTTCATTTAAATTGCCTGATGAATATGGAATGCTACAAAACTTGCCTTCAATTGTAACTGGGTATGCGCTCGATGTCAATGAAAATGACCTTAAAGTATTAGATATGTGTGCAGCACCTGGTAATAAGACTACACATATAGCTACATTAATGAATAATAAAGTGAGTTAATCACGTGAACTAGCTTTTGACTTAATTTTCTGAATCTAATGGATTATTAATGAATTAGACAAAAATTGTGTCATTGTGAGTAGAATATTAAAAATTAATTTTCTTATTATTAGGGTTCAATAGATGCATTAGATAAATCAAAAGCGAAATTAAAAAAAGTTGAACTTCGATGCAACGATTTTGGAATTAAAAATGTGAAAATTCATCATTTTGATTCTTTGATTAGTGTAGACAGAAATAATATGAATAACAATGATAATAGACCACCATTTAAAAATGAATCATTTGATCGTGTATTATTGGATGCACCGTGCAGTAACCTTGGACAACGGCCATTACTTAATATTCAAGTAGATGAAAATCTAATTAAAAGTTTTCCTGCCTTACAAAGAAAATTATTAATAAATGTAATAAGACAACAAATCAGTATATTTAATACATATATATATAAATAAATTGTATATATTGATAAATTTAAATACTAATTTTATTTTTGAATGTATTTTAGGCTATAGACCTTGTTAAGCCTGGTGGTATATTAGTCTACAGTACATGTACAATTACGCTAGAAGAAAACGAACATAATGTAGCTTGGGTTCTTAAAAAGTTTCCACAGATGGAACTAGTTGAAATTAATTTTGAAATTGGTAGTCCAGGAATTGCAACTCAAGTAAATTCAATTAATGCTTTGTCTGTTAGTCTTTATTTACATGCTAAATTTTGTTATAGATGGGATTAAATGAAAATTTATGTAAACTTGTAAGGCGCTTTGGTCCTGAGAATGTTGAAGAAGATTCTATTGGATTTTTCATTTCAAAGTTTCAAAAAAAAGTTTAATAATTAATATATTGTTATACTATCGAATAATAATAATATTTGGACATAGTATGAAATCATTTCTAAATTGTTTTTTTTTCTTTTGTTATACTTCAGTTATAGTTTGATCTACTATATCATGTATTTGAAATAAAAAACATTTTATTTACAATTTTATGGTTTACTTTTTACCCCAATCTTATGTAAAATATTTAGTGAGTCATGAAGATATAACAATTTTACATTAAAAGTATATTTTAATGTGTAAGATCATTGTCATATGCCTTGTATATAAATTATAAACATTTATAAATTTATTGTGGATTTTTTGAGATGAGGAAAATGCCCGGCACTATATAAAAACTGATTTTTGAGATAAAAAGTTATGTAACCACTCTTATTGTACATTGGGTGTCGAATGGGCAACTGTTATAAGCGAATTAAACTTAAATTCAATGATAATCATTATATATTAAAAATAATTTTGAGTGTAAAGGGTCCATTAACCCATATCATTAAGTAATATGTTAATTTGGTACAGCTATTAAATTTAAATTTTACTTTTATTACTATGATAGGATGTTCATGACCAAGGTTCAGATTTGAAGGTAATATAAATAAAAAAAAAGCATTTAAAATATGAAAAAAGGTAAAAAAGGCATTTAATTTATATAAAAATGTAATTCAAAAAGTATACTACAAAATTTAATGTACTAATTAGCTGGTATTAAAAAAAAAATTTCACTAACATGTACTTAGATAGCTTTAGTAAAACGTTGACTGTTTGGGCTCAAAATCTTTTTATACGTAAAAAATGATCTTTCTACGTTCACTAAAGTAATTGGGGCATATTTTATACATAAATAATTATCTAAATTAAGATTACTACTTATTAAATCGTCATAACTTATTGTTCTTCTATACTAATTAACCCATTCTAAATAATTTTAAACATAACATCGACATTGCACTGTTTTCACAGCTCATCGATTTGTACCGTAGGCAAAAAAAGCAAAAATGTATTTATAAGTAAAAATGGTAAAAAAAATACATCCACCGTCTTCGATATTAAGCGAAACACATTTTTATATAAAAATTATTTTTCTATTATAATTATTAAAAAAAAAAGGCTCTTGCCTTGAAAACCGAACCCTAATCATAAGTCATAATTCATAAGCGTAGGGTGATCAAATTTTTTTTTTTTTTGGTGGGGGGGGCTGTAGCCCTTCTAGGGGTAGATATGTATCAACTCGTGGGGAGCCAGACAACATTTTTGTGTGACTATTTTCCGAACTAAGGGGGACTAAGCTCACCAAGCTCCCCTAAATACGCCTATGAGGTTGATAATTTTTTTTCCGAAAATATTGTATTTATTAGTATCTAGGTATTTAATTATAATAATATATGTTTATACCATATTATATCAACTTTTATAATTCAAAATTGAATAATATCTTTCTATAAATATTGTAGAACAGTAAAAATAGATTCATATTAAAAGTACCTATAAATAGGTAATATTTTAATAACACCTACAAGTATGCATAGAAAATGATTATATAAATACTTGGTAAAAATTTAAAGAAGGTATCAATTTTTTTTTTTCTAAATGCAATAATTAATAAAATATCAAAAATTGTTTGAGGAGAAATTATTATTTTATAGGTGAATATTAAATGTAGTAAACATTTAAACTTCAAATACTCATAAAAAATTAATTTAACTTTTAGTATAATTTTTTCACATATGAATTCAACAACTAGTAAAGAACCTTGTATAAAATTTTTAAATCTTTAATATTAATAAAAAATCAGATTTTTTATGAATTTCTAAATAAAAAATAAAATATATTAAATGGAAGAACTCAATTGATTTATTAAAAATTCAATAAATGATGAGTGTATTAAGAAATCTAAATAAAGTTCGAGAATTACCAGAACTATGATATGTTTATTTAGCATTGGTAGAATCAATAATTTTATATGGTATAATTGGGTGGGGTGGCGCTTTCGAAAATATGATTACTACCAATATCTCGGCTATAAATTTGTTAAAATTAAATTATTAGATTACTAAAGAATGTAATATGTATGTACTCAACAAAAAAAATTATACATGGAACTATATAAATGTGCTTCTTGTCAAGAAAATATATTTAAAAATAACGGTTATTTTTTAAAAAGTCATAATTTATACAACCGATAATACATGGAGTCAACAAAAGATACACAAAAAATAATTTTTTCATTAAAAGAACTAAAAAAACCACCTCTAGTAAAGATTTTGAAAGAATCAGTACCAAAATCAATAACCAAATACCATTCCATACAAAAAATTTTCCGATTAATTTATTTAAAAAACATTTTGTAATGGTTTTTGGAGTATTTAAACGAATTAACTATATAATAATGTTACCTACTGTATTAATTATAACCATTGTTAGCTATTTTTAGTTTAAAAATTTAGATTATCATATACTCGTTTATTTATAGAATTTTAACTTTTTTTATATACCTGTTAATTTTATGTAATTATATTTTGAACTCCTGGATCCCCACACGAGTCCGCTCAGTGGGGCCCAGTACTCTTAAACGGGCAAGGGAAGATAAATTAATAATATAATATAGCCAATAAAGGTAATTAGTTGACGAGTGATAGAAAAGTTCCAAAATGTTCACTATATGCATGGTTACATAGATCGGTTGATGTAATAAAATAATATTAAGCTTCTTCTATTGTTATTATTTGTTTATTTCTTATTATAATCTACGTCTTTAACTTTGGGAATGGTTTTTGGAAGAAAATTGGATCAAGTTGGTAGTTGGTACCCAAGACGGGTGCAGACGTTTGCTCCGTAGACTGTAGAATTACTATACTTTTATAGTTGCAAAACGAGGGTTTTATAATTTATTAATTTATGACTTGTAAGAGATTAATGTTATTGCTAAAGTAGAACATTCTAACAATCTGATATTTTTGGTTAATTAAATTAGTGATAGATAATAATATAGGTGCACAATGATCCTGGTAAATCTTTAACTGATTTCTAAAATCCATAGGCGCAATTTAGATTAAATTTATGAGGGTGCTAGATTTATGTTGACCAAAATGACCTGTGGGTGACTTTTATACAACACCATTCATATATTTTCGTTGAACAACCTTATTATTTATTAATAATTTATAATAAAATAAAATATTAATAAAGAAAATAAAAAAACAAATTTCAAATATAACTTATAAGTAATTCCATTTTTTATTTTTTATATTATATTAAAGATATACGTCTTTGAGACATATTAAAATTATTTATTATTTTATCTTTATTAATTTTAGTGCTTAGATCTTTCTCAATATTAATAACTGTTTTTCATTTACAAAATAGCTGAAAGACGTTTCGGCGTAATCGTTATCGATTATCGATATTCGTTTTATAAAATCTTCTTGAGTACCTAATTAATACATAATAATTTATTAATCACAATATAAACAATAAATTGACAATAATATTTTCTATATTATTCTGATCAGTGATCGGTATGTTTAATTATTATTAATATGAAGATGAAAAGTCCTAGAATCAAATCTATCTTAATGTTCATGATATAATATTATCATAAGTCATAATTTATAACCAATAAAAATTCGATGATGTTATTAAAAATTTAGGGGTGCTAATAGGAAATTTGAGGATGCTAAGCTCCAAGCATCCCCCAAATTGTGCAATTTGCGAATGGATTTTAATAAAATCCATTCGTCTGTATAAACATCTGGGCATCAGTGGAAAATTCTAATAAACCCTGGAAAATTTACTTATATTTAAGAAAAGTAACTTTCTTTTACTTTAAAGAGTTGAGATATGTTAATATGTTATACAACTTAGGTCAAATATCTCGAAATTATTCTGGATAAAATATATTAAATATTGAAATCCTTAGCATATGTAAAAAAAAAAAAATTTTAGTAAACACCGTCATCTGATGCGTCTTTTATTTGAATCCAGTCAATCCAGGCGATTGATTTATAAAAAATAAAACTACAGAAGTTACTACCAAGACTTGTTAGTTGCTTGGGCTTACGTTATGCAAATCTAGGGATGCGCCAAACCTCAAATTAACACAATCCAAACCATTCAATTCATCGCTCTCATCCGTCTAATAAACTTAGCTCTCCACGGATAATGTAATAAATGAATCTTTACTCAAATACCTGAAAATGAAAACTGTAGATCAACTACCTACCCCAAAGCCATTATTCAAGGGTTTCACTTAGAACTTTATCAGTATTTTAACCATTTGATTTATCACCAATTACCATCCATTCTTACTGACAACCCACAAGCTTATAAATAAACTAATTCGCTGAAGGGCTTCATTATCACTTCATTTATATATCGTGTTAAATAAATACAGATTGTATTTTTTTTTTTAGATAAACAAAAAGACAGGTTACAACAAAAATAATATAATATGACAATAATGTAGGTAATTAGGTAATGCCTGAACAAATTTTTTTTTTTTTAATAATTTATTTCAAAAGAGAAAAACTCACATAAAAACATGGCCTTACTCCATTTTATTATATAGTATTACATAATAATGATGGTTTTTATTACGGATATGTATACGTGATGTAAATGCATATTACATGAACACTACACTACTACTTTAATATTATATTCACGATATTGATATTATAATAATATTATGAAAATACAACAATATTAAAATATGCGTACGATAATAATAATTTTTTAATAATAATAATATAAATACAATATAATGATATAGTTATAATAATAATAAAAAAAAAATGATTACATTTTGGGATATGCATTTTATAGATATGTATCGCTGTTAAATGTCTATATTAATCAATATAGTTATTAATGTGTATTATATAATAATAATAATAATAATAATAATAATAATTATAATAATAGTTATTATATCCTAATAGTCTTAAAATGTATAAACTCATAAATCACATATAAATGTATTTAAAATTACGTAAGTCGTATGCTAATTATGTCTTTGGCAATACCCTGTGAGACGATGCCGATAACGACCTTTTGACACGACACAATTGATGGTACTTAATTTTTGTTTTATGGATGTTTTTCTAAAACATTTTATTTTATTTTTTTAATGTTATTCTACAAACGCCTCACCGGGTTTTGCAAAGAACCATAAGCTTTCATCGTTACGTAATTTATTAAGATATGTATTGCGAATGGTTTTTAAGCTTAAATATTAATGATAATAATATTATAATCAATCATATAATATGTAAATAACACTCTTCAAACATTCCTACAAATATATCTAGCAACTATATTATAATGACTTAAAAACATTTTTTGTTTAGTTATAGTAATAATTATCTACAAAAATTTCTAAATTTAAAATCGTATTTGGTTAATATTTTTCATATTCGTGTATGTGTATTGTTACATAGCGCATAAAATCTCATATTTATACGTGCAAGATATAATATAGTAGATACTAAATTCTTATAATATGAAGACACTATTAGAAAAACCGAAATTAAAATCAAAATTCAGATCGGAAAACATCACGTGCATAAAGTTTAGTGAAGTGGGTATACCTATAGGTTGAAAAATATTTTACAATATTATGTATAATTATGATGTATTTATGGGCAACGCGTGTACAGAGCTAATACGTCAAATGTTTGACGACCAGTTATTTTGATTACCTACATGTGTTTAATATGGCAGTTATATAGACCGTTTAATACCTTTGCTAATAGACAAGAAGTGATAGCACGCCGGGAGTGGAAAGATAGAGGGAACTTTTCCGTGACTGTGACTGAAAATTATCATTAGGTATCATAAATAATGTTATGCCATTATACCATCGATTTTAGAATTTACAAAAAGTACTTAGTTTATTCTAAAATCAATGATTATACTATCAGTGTGTGTTGTTTGTCCTTCATTTTATCATCCGTTGTTCAAATTAGAATGCCTGAAAATTAATTTTGAATTTAATTTATAACTTGAACATGGGTTGCAATTAATGTATTATTAATGTGTTTTAAGAGATTTTTATAGGGCTGGTTTTAATACTAATATTATGGATACTCAATATATCAGGTCAAACATTATTCACCCGACTATAAGGATTAACGTCTTGTATCAATAATAATAAATACATATATAACATTAGGATTAATATGCATAGTAAAACTGAAAATTAAAAAATGAGTATTAAAAACAGTGTTTAAAATTAATGAGATTTAGAAATGAATAGGAATATCTGTGGTTCCATATTCTGTATAATATAACTAGACAAATTTTGTTCATTAGTCATTACTAATTAGTCTATGTTTTTTTTATAGGCACATTATTTTTAGTTAAAATTTTAATAAGAATTAAGTTATTACAGTCACACTTTGTTGTAAATTTTTAATTAATAAAGTCAATTTGTTTTAAGTAAATATTTAATTTTTTTTTTACTTCTGAAACGGACGACGCTGCGAGAAATTTAATAGTGCAAATAAAACCATTGATTATGTGTGCATTAAGCGTACGATAATTTGCATTAGTACACCTGGTGGTGTTAAAGGGGACTAAATAATTGCGATGTTTTTACGCTTGTCTTAAATCTTAACGCCTTTGTCATTCAAATTTTAAATTCAAATTTCTTGTCTATTATAGTATGAGGTCTATGGGCTGCCTACTTCCTAGTATATAATATATATGATGGGTCGGTAACCTATACGACAAAAATGTTGAATTTTCGTTGTTGGATTGCAGACCATTTTGAATCCCCGCCTACGTTTGAATATTCCCAACGGATGGTTGTAATCCTCAATAGTGACGTTCGTAAACTAACAGCCCGACGATAATCATATGGACATACAACAAGTAGCTGGTGGTACATGCACGTGTGTTATATTGTGTGTAGGGTCGTACAATTTGACGATGATATTATAACGATGGAAGAACAAAAAAAAAAAAAATAAAAACTTGACGATTAAGTTGAAGGTTTCGTGTTCTGTGTTTGTTGGATGGGTTTTTTCCACGGTTATAATTTTAAATTAAAAATAATTACCATAGCGCTATACGCTGTTGTATAATGCATTCGACGTCACTGTAGTCGAAAACGATCGATGAATTCTCGGAGCGTGTCCTAATCGTTTTACCTAGGTACCTACACATACTGTTTTACCTAACGGCTATCACCGCGGTGTCCGAGTGGTGCATGCTTGTGTTGTCCACTCTACATTGCGACATTATAATGTAAATTATAAAATTGTAAACAACACGCTCAAGGGGTAGATATTTGAAAAGCGAATAATGTTTCCGCTGAAAAACAAAAAAGTACTTTACGTAAACTGAACTGGACTCGAAATAGCACACGCGTGTCTATGAGTAGCGCTACACATTTTTTGTGCTACGACGATAATATATAATATTATTATTAATATATTATTGTGTTACGATTAAATTATTATTAACTATTTAATATATTATATATGCTTAAATATGATACGGATGATATGTGGTTGATATGTTGTCGGCAAAAGGTCCAACGTTCGTTGGCCAAATTGATAGAACGATAAACGAAAAATATTCATAAAAAATAAAAAATAAAGAATATACAAACACGTGAGTGTATGTGATATTATTATATTGTGTAAATCGAAAACGCATTGTACGACTGTCCTGTTGTGTTGGTTCGATATCGATATGAAGTTTATCGTATCGTAACAGTGTACCGCACCAATAACAATGGCTGTCGTCGAGGTGCGTCGTTTCGTTTTTATTTTTTTTCTTAAAGACGAAGAACAATAAATAAATAAAAACAAAAAAATAATATCATGCGACGAGAGCAGGTCTAAACACCGCGAATTTTAACGCTCTCCGTCCGATCGTTTTCTGTAGTTGAGGCACTATTAGAGTAGTAACTGGTAATGAGTTATTATTGCGTTTTTGAACATTCATAAGTAGGTACCTACAATATTATAGGCACCGGTCTTAGCACACTGGCATATTTGATATATTTATTTAATATCAACGCAAGTTGTGAGGTCATGGCTGTTGTAGGCGTGTGCTATAATAAATAATAACATATATGTATGATCTATGTGTTAGATAGCTTGTGTGTATTTGCAGAGTGTAAGCGTGTGTGTGTGTGTGTGTGTGTGTGTGTGTGTGTGTGTGTGTGTGTG